ATATTTTTTTTTAATTATTTTTTTATGGGAACATAATAAGATAACAATGTTTACTTTCTGGATAGGTAAAGATCCATTTAAACGCTGGGGCTTTTTGGGTTGGACAAGGCATTAAACACAGTAAGCAAACCTGGGGTCACAAACATTCACATACAGTAGGTAAGCTCACAGTTAGACCAGCCAATGCATCCTCACATGGTTTTTGCTCTCTTGCTTGTATTCTAGGGCCGAGGGCACTGCCTCTTCCTGGGGTCTCTTGTCCAACGGAAAGCCCAGTTTTGCCAAGGACCGGCTGAGTTATACCTCTGGCAGCAGTGCTTTGCTGTCGGGAAGCCGGTTTGCTGCCGCCCCAGCGGGGGTGTCCCTCCCACTCGAAGGGTTCTTGTACAGGCAGTACTGGTGACAGGGAAGCAAGTCATGGAAAGTCCTTACTGCCTCAGGGGCCTGGGAGGAGGACGATCTGGGGAATGAGAATGAGGCTCATCTACTGAGTGTTGTAAAACAAGCATGATTATAATGTATTTACACTCCAGGGAAAACCATTTCCGATAGCTTTTGTTATCTTATTTTCATTTTTAACAGCAGCGGACGGCTCTGAATCATCAGGGAGAACATGAACTGGGATTAATGGCTGAGAACACAGCTGCCTGTCTGTGACTAGCAGAGCAGCAGAGGACATACAGTATAGGCCTTGAATTCCAGTCTTGACTTCAGGGAGGAGCATCTCAACCAAAACCCACCTGGTTTCCCGAAATTCAGTCCTCCCATTCCTGATATAAATTTTTCCCCCACCACAACCACACTCTAGCCCCAACACTCAGCAGTATATAGTGGTCATCACTGTTGAAAGAGCTACGAATGGCTATGCTAATCACACTGACCACAGTGAAAAGACCTGTAATACATACAGTACTGCACTATGCAAGTGTCTTTGCCAGAAATTCACAATTGTTCAAGAGTACCACTGAAGAAACAGCAAGATTGGACATTTTCAGTCAATATAAGCCTAGGAAAAGCAAACTGATTATGGAATTTTTTCATCTAAATAAAATATCCAGCATTCAAAGGCATCAGGTCAGTGTGCTGCTGTAAATGAATGCCTGTAGACATGCAGCAACATTGCCTTTTTGATGTCGTAAATACTTAAGATGTTGTATTTATTGGCTGTTGTCATATCCTGCCTTCTTGTCCTCCTCATTCTCCCCCTAGTGGGGCCTCAACGAGGCACGCCTGTTACTTGTTTTGTCTTACCTCTTGTTCCTGTCCTTGTGTGGATCACTCCAGCTGTCTCACATTTGCTCCCTCGCCAGTCCAATATAAAAGTGCTTCCTAGGCCTGTATTCCCCATCAATCCCAATCATGACACCCTTAACCCCTACCCAGCCCAAACCTAAACCATAAGTAACCAAACAAAATACAAGACTTTTCGACATTTTTAGTTTTTTGATTGCAGGGACTGAAAAAATGGTCTCCACAACAGGTTTGTCACGTATCACATTGTGGGGGCATTTGGTCCCCATGATGTAATATATATATATGACACACGTGCCCACGCACAGGCATGCAGATACACACACACACACACACACACACTGATGGGAATGAAAAACACATGTGTGCTTCTCTTGACCACATTGATGTACACCAAGACTCTGTACTGCTGTAATAAAAGTCTTTATGGAAGCTTTGTACACAGAACATATGTGGGACATGTTATGAAGAAACATCTGGAACATACAGCCTTTTTGATATGTAATATTGCTTCACTGGAAAAAAACACTATTAAAAAACTATTAGCAGAATTGTAACTTGATACCTATAAACATATGTACAGTAATCTGCCAGACCACATCCGTAAAAATGGTTTTCCCAGAAATTGTTTGTCAGGCTTGTATTTCATCACCATTTGTTATGAACCTGCTAGACATGTATTGTATCTGAACTAATGTTTGTTTTAGGAATTGTTTTGTTTTTTTCACAGCAGTTATCCATAAACATGCAGTGTCATCAGTGTATAGTTTACAAAGTAAAAGCCTGGAAGAGAGTAAAATAAATGATTGATTTATTTAGTTATTTTAAATGGGAGCATCTGCAATGATCTAGCTAAAAGCCATTTATTAGAAATACATTCAATAGTTGTATGAAACACCGATCAAGAATAACTTTAAAACCACATGCCTAATATTGTGTACGTTCCCCTCATGCCACCAAAACAGCTCTGACCCTCTCAGGCATGAACTCCACAAGACCTCTGAAGGTGTCTAATGGTATCTAATACCAAGACATTAGCAGCAGATCATTCTTTAAGTTGCCAGGGGCCATGGATCATACTTGTTTGTTGAGATGCTCAGTTGGATTGAGATCTGGGGAATTTGGAGGCCAAGTCAACACCTTGCACACTTTTTCATGCATCTTAAACCATTCCTGAACACTTATTGCAGTGTGGCAGGATGCATTATCCTGCTGTAAGAGGCCACTGCCATCGGGTAATACCATTACCATGAAGGGGTGTACTTAATCTGCAATAATGTTTAGGTAGGTGGTATGTGTCAAAGTACAGTAACATCCACATGAATGTCAGGAACCAAGATTTCCCAGCAGAACATTGCTGAGGGCATCACATTGCCTCCGCCGGCTTGCCTTCTTCCCACAGTGCATCCTGGTGCCTGGTTACCTCATCCCCAGGTAAATAACACAGATGCACGCTGCCGTCCACATGATGTAACAGAAAATATGACTCATCAGACCAGGCCAGCTTCTGCCGTTGGCCCATGGTGCAGTTCTGACCCTCACATGCCCATTGTAGGCACTTTTGGCGATGATCAGGGGCATCTCTCCATATCATATTCCTTTAGCATGTCTTGCACAAGCATACACCCCACCAGTCCTGCCATTTTGGAGACGCTCTGACCCAGTCGTCTAGCCAGTTTGATTTGGCCCTTGTCAAAGTCACTCCGATCCATACGCTTAACCATTTTCCTGCTTCTAACACATCGACTTCAAGAACTAACCGTTCACTTGCCTAATATATAATGACACCCTTGACTTGTGCTATTGTAATGAGATAATCAATGTAATTCACTTCAGTGGTTTTAATGTTATGGCTGATCAATGTATGTGTTATACAATAGGACTGGCTATATTACAAGAAGTAGAGTAGTGAAATGGTATTGCTGTATTATTCATTCATTCATACATCCATTCATTTAACTTCTATACAGTACCACTTGTCCTATACAGGTATCTTGGGTGTCAGGAGACTATCCTGCAAGTTATGGGCACAAGGCAGGAAATATCCCAGGACGGGGCACCAGCCCATCGCAGGGGACCACTGCCCTGCTATACAAAAGCAACCCTAAATGAATCAAAAGGTGTTGTCTGATACTGATTTCTATTATACATGACATAGTAATAATAATAATAATAATAATTATTATTATTATTGTTGTTGTTGTTAAACAGATGGGTACCTTGTGGGGTGTCATGGAGGTGCACTGGTTTGCACTGAAGCCTCCCACTTCTGGGACCTGGGTTTGAGTCTCCGCCAGGGTTCCATGTGTGTGGTGTTTGCTTGTTCTCCCCGTGTCATCATGGGGATTCCCCCCACAGTCCAAGAGCATACTGAGGCTAATTGGAGTTACCAAACTGCCCATAGATGTGAGAGTGTGCCCTGCAAAGGGTTGGTGTCCCATACTGGCTTATTTCCTGCCTTGTGCCCATAGACTGTGGACCCCATATGACAAACAGATCATTTCAGATGATGGTTGCATGTCTTAAAGTTTGCTTATTATTTAATATTACAATAGATATTACCCACGACACAGATGGATAAAGAGGTATAGATAATGGATGGATGGATGGATGGATGGACAATAGATATTAAAGGTGTTTTATTAATAAGTGGAATGTGAATGTCTGTATATATGAGTGTCACTTGAGTTAGTTTGTTTGGCTTTTGGCCTTTGGATTCTCATCACACAGCTACGAATATCAATGACCCATATGCATGAACAGCGAACTTGTGCAGAATTGTGCTTAACGGAGCTGTGACCTTTTGCTATAATAAACCCAAGACTTTAACACTGCAGCTTTGGACTTTATCACAGCATTTAAAGGAACATGGAGCACATCTGGTGACACCAGCAAACTTGTACACGTGCAATGTTGTGCAAAACATGTGCAATATTATGACATTAATGACGACTAACAAAAACTGTTTCATGTAATCTGTTTGTCATATTGCAAAACTATCATTTTTCTTTAAAAATCCTTGCAATAGGTCTTTCACAACACTACAGTGCGTGTGCTGAAAGAATTCTCTTTCATCGCCCAGGACATACTTCCTATAATTGCATTTAATCTTGGCATTTACAGTAATCTTAGCAGAAACACTGAAATATAGTGCAATCACTGAATTTAAATTTAAGTTTTGGACAAAGGTATTGGGACACGTACACCTCTTAATCACTGAATTCAGGTGTTTCATTCAGATCGACCCATTGCCACAGGTGTATAAAATCAAGCACCTAGCCATGCAGTCAGGTTTAAAAATATTTGTGAAAAAATTGGTTGTTCTGAAGAGCTCAGTGAATTCAATGTGTTACTGTCATAGGATGACACCTTTGCAATAAGTCATGAAAAGTTCATGAAATTTCTTTCCTGCTAGATAAGTCAGCAGGCACCACTGGGCACTGGAGCAGTGGATACAGTGTATATAATCCTGGTGTGTCCGTTAAACTTTCCGTGTCATAGTCTGTCGCAAAGAATGACGTTATTAGTTTACACTACAAAACTTCGGAAAAATCCAAGAAGGCCTTCCGTTTATTTCGTTTCATTTAAAATAATAATTTAAAAAATTCTAATTCAGGGAAAGTTAAGGCAAGACTTCTAGTGACGATGGGTACTTGGTTAGGTACATGTTGCGCAAATAATCATATTCATTATTTCAAAATTCCGCGTAGCACATGTGACGTTCCGGCCTGTCTGGCAGTAAGACGCGCCCCACTTGTACGAAGCAGTAGTTACATGGAACTGGCGGGGTAAGGGACGGGATTCCGGTGATGGGATATAAAAGGCCGGCGCACAGCACTCGGGAACACACGTTCAGGGTAAACCGCTCCTCGGAAGGTCATCCCAGCTCGCATCAGAATCATGGCTCAAGGTATGATCTGGCTTTCAACCATCCGTTATATTTTCATTTACGCATGTTAAGCGTCTTCCCGATGAAAACGAGTTTCCTTTCTGCCACCTAAATTCCATTCTTTGTTTCCTTTGCTGGTGTGATATCGTCTTTCATGCAGATTGAAACTGTCTATAAAATAACCCATGGACTGAAAAAAAGTAAAAACACAAAGAAAGACTCGAGTTATACTGCAAATTATAACGATGATTGTGCATAATTTTGCCTTCTAAGTACTCATTGATAAATTGAAACTGAGGGTGATAGGGTGATACAGTATGTACTGCTGTATGCATTAAAAAAGAACACTGAATGACGAAATGTGGTGAATGACACTGAATAAAAATGTCAGAGAAACGTGCACGCAACAATACAATTAGTTTATAGTCTAGTTATTAGGCATTTTAAGTATTCTACTATTTACATGCTTCTAAAACATTCATCTGCAGAAATGCGAGCCAAACACACCTGCTTCTCGATTAGACTCTCCCGCGATGTTAACTTTTATACATTAATTTACATTTTATTTTTTATGCTTTTGTTTTTGTCCCGTGAACCTAAAGTCTTCATACTGAAGTTAAAAGGCAGCGAACACATCTGAGCTAAGTGACTTGAAATGTTATACAAAAATAGCACCGCATTCTGTACGTACTTTGGACGCAGCTGCTGAGTAAACTGTCCCGGCGGAACTTATAAGCTTTCAATATAGTCTTCACAAAAATCTATTGCCATCTGGGCACTTCAGAAGACTTATTTTTAGCGTAGAATTTAGCGGTAATTGCTGTCAATACTGACGGCAAATGGTTCCCCGGTATACATAGGAGGACTTAAAGAACCTCGAACAGCTTGAATATTTGAAGAAAAAAAAATAAATAAATAAATAAATATATATATATATATATATATATATATATATATATATATATCGATGATTGCTTTGGGATTTGTATCTGTAAGAAACCTTCACATCATTAGGACAGCATTTAAAATACAGATTTAGCCCTGTCTTTTTCACGTGGGTGTAAAATGAAATATTCAAGGGTAAATATAGCATACAAATAAAGAATATTTGTAATATTATGTCATGTGTTCTGTTGGGCAACAGATTGTAGGAGGCAACATTGTAGCATTTTTAGTGCCTACATGGTGTACTTTTTCATTAATGTGTTTTCCAGCAGCAATAGGAGAAGCGTCCCTTAGATTCAGAGTCGGTGTGGGTGGACTGGGAGTGAAATAGGGGTACGTCAGCCAGTCTGTGTAGAGAAGGGCTCCTGTGTTTCGTAAATACTGGGTGTGCCAGTAGGACATCTTGTGGCTTTAGGGTAGAGTGAAGAGTCCTCCCTGTTTGTAAACCTGCGTCAATGGAGGTACCATGTAAGCATTCAGTGGCCCTTGCTTATGGAATGACCGCTGTGGTGGCATAAGTAAGAATGAAGAACAAAACACAGAAAAAAAACAAACATGTTATTTACGGTTAACCCCTTGATGTCGGCCTCTTTATTTGAAAACATGCAAGGTTAATATTTACCTGCTTTCATGTGTAAACAATCAACCATATGGCTTCCAGACTACCTTCGTCAAGATTTATAAAATGAATGCATGGTATGTGGTTTGCTCAGAAAAAAAGAATGTCTCCAGAGTCTTTATTGGGAGCAGTAAATTGAAATCAGGCCTGCTGTCGCACTCGAGTGTATTTTAGAGTGAACCAAGGCAACCTGACATATCAGGCACTGTAGGCCCTGATTGTACTGCCACATAGATTAACAGGAAAGACCTGGTGTGTTACAATCCCCACCAAGGGTCTGAATGGTGTTTAGGCTTAGAAGGATCATCAATCTGAGGTTCAGAGGATCCATGTTTCACGCAAAATATGAAAAAGATGTAACTGTGCAGCATTCAAGATCTGGAAATTAAGTTAAAAAGGAATCAATTTAGATGTTTTCTTTTCTATTAGTGTCTCAACAACTTACTTCTTGTAAACCAAAACACCCACAATATGAAACGCATTTGTCCTCGGTGCCTGGAAACAAGAAGACACAGATTTTTTTTCCACATTATTTTTTTTTCCGGCTGAATTAGTGCAGCCATTGTGATTAATTTTAGCAAGTGACTGCCTTCCTACATGGAGGCGTGGAGTCACTACTAAACACGCAGTAAAGGGCAACGTATCACATATTCCAATAACAGGAAATCAGGGTGGGATTTTTTTTTTTCCTGAGTCATATTTGTATCCAGGATAAAAAGGGAGGATCCGAACACCTCAAAGGAGTTTGTGCTTAACGGACTTAGATTTTCCCTTTTGGTTTTCCTGGTTGAGGAAATGCTTGTTTTCACACTGCAGAGCATGTTTCCTGGATTACATATAAATGTAAAAATTTTATGAAATCCGTTTCCCTCCAAATAGTTGTGCTTTAATAGTGTTTTTTTCTGAGATTTGTGATAATTGGGCCCTTTTTTGTATAGTTTTTTGTATATGCTTCTTTGTGAATGCCCCTTTGACCTATCCCCCTTGACCTTTAACCCCTTTCACTCTCAGCGCTGGACATCGCAAGGTGTGACCTGGATTGTGAGATCAACAACACAGATCACCGCACGGATCTCAACGGTGTAGATCGACTGATCGTTCGCCGTGGAAACCTTTTCACCATCACCCTGTACCTAAACTCCGGGAGCTATCAGCCCGGAGTCACCGACTTCCGCCTCATAGCTGAGACAGGTACCTGCACCACTGGGTATTGCTGTAATATATGTAATATACAGGACTGTGCTGTAGTCTTAGGCTGCCAGAGAAAATTATGTTTAAATGATCTTCATATTGGTGTAAAACTACATCTGTGTTAGATTAGCCATTTAAAAGCCTCTTTTAAAGTCACTCTAGTATTTGCAGGAACCATCCGATACACCATGTGCTTGTTTACTTGATCACTAACACACAACTTCTTTGCACAATGAATATAAAGGGTGTCAATGTGTTTTCAGGGGATGGGGGTAGATGCACTAAGTGACTGAGTCAAATCTGTCCTCTCACTTTAGGCTGTATGACCTCATATATTGTACCTCTGACGACTGCATGCGTAAATAGGACAAACCGGGGTTTATTTAGGTCTGACAGGTAGACGGGGGAAACACACAGCAAAACCACGTTAATGACAGCTCTAGGGAAACAGACTTGAACACGGACTAAGAACATAAGAACATAAGAACATAAGAAATTTACAAACGAGAGGA